CACCAGGTTTCAGTGATGCCTATTATATCATATTTGCTTTGTTATGCTGGGAGTTCAAGTTTATCTTGTTTATTTCCCATGTTCTGTGCATTTGTGTAGAGATATCTAAGAGCCTGTGTCCTCCCCCCTTGCTGCTTGTGTGAGATTTTTTCCCTCCCACTGTTGGGCCCTTACATCATTTGCCTTGTTTCCCCTATAACACTTTGACTATTATTTCCAGCCCATGAGATACTCCTGCCTTCCAAGATACCTTCTAAGATACTGTCTCCCTCTCCAACATGACTCAGTTTAAAGCCCTCCTGATCAAATGTTTGAGACTATTGGCAAAAATGCTTCTGTGAACTAATCTGAATGCAGCCTATCTCTTGCTAGAAGTCCATTCTCATGGAACTGCAAATCAGTTTTGGTGATACCATCTATGAAGCCAATTATTCACATTGGTGATACCATCTATGAAGCCAATTATTCACATCTGCTATCTTCCTCTCCCTTCCTGGACCATGCCCTTCAACTGGGAGAAGAGATGAGATAACAATAGCTCTTTCAGCTTCCTACCCAAAGTTTCATAATCCCTTCTGATATTCTGAAGACTGTGCCTTACAGTATCATTGGTTTCCACATGGACCAAGAGGAAGGGATAATGGTCAGTGTGCTTGACCAGTCTTGTCAGCCTTGCTGACATCATGGATTTTTGCCTCAGGGAGACAACACACCTCTCAGGACATCTTGTCAGGCCCACAAACCACTGCTTCTGTACCCCACAACAAGGAGTCCCCAACCACTGCCACACACCTCCTCTGAGGCTTAGCAGTGGCTGTTACCTGCGGTGGTACTCTTAGGGTTCCCTGCACTGTTCCTGAGGACTGTCCCTGTTCTTCATCCTTGATAAGTGAGAGAGCTTCAAATTGGTTTTGGAGCTACAAGGTCCCAGAATGATCCCTGGTTTCTCTACTTCTGTGTGTGACATTCCTCCAGGTGTCCACCTCCTGTGTTCATGAAATGACCTCCTCCTCAGCAACTTCCTCTGTGTGGTCCCCATCCAAGACCGTTCGTTTCTCTCTGTCCAAGAAAACCTCTTGCTCCCTAATATGCTGAAGTGTACCTACCCACACCTCCAGCTGCTTGACTTTCTCTTCCAGGAGGGCTACGAACTTGCACTTGGTGCAGGTGAAGTTACCCACATTTCTTGGCAAGAAGACAAACATCCCATAAGTGTAACATCCCGTAAATTATGGACAACTCCTTCAGTGTCCATAATGAGAAATCTTAAATAATCACTGAAACTGGGCATCTCCCTCAAAAACTCCCTGGTAAAGAGCCATATAAAGGGCCCCTGTTCTCTTGGTCTTTCCACCAGGCTGTGTCAGCGAGATCAATCAACTGTGTTTCTAACTCTACAGAGAGCTCCTGGATGCTATTTT